GGGGGGGGGGGGGGGGGATATAGGTTGCAGTAGTTACAAGGAGGCGCCCAAAGCATGGATGAATGTTTGTCGCACCGTAACCGTGAAAGTGTGGAAAAGTTTGGCTGAGGATGGGTGTGGGTGTGAGGTATGAATTTGCAGTTCGGCTTTAGACGTCAAGTCGATGGTAAAGGTGTGGAGTGGTGCGGCCGTATGTATATATGTGGTAGTGACTTTGATTTTTTCATTCGGGCATGGGATGTAGTAGTGTAGGTGAGGGTGTCGCTTGGCGCGTATAACGTGCCGTTGTCGATGGAATATGAATTTAGGTCTACTTCTGTTCATGGATGTGCTCTTGATGCAGCTACACGCTGTATGTCCACGTAAGTCGAAGTCCACACAGCATAGCCTAGTAATTAACATTTACTAGCCTTTATCATAAAGAACAGTCTTTTTCGAGAAACAAACAAGAAGAAGATACTCTTCTGATGGTTTTCAAATGTCAATAGGGAGTGGATGTAGATGGCGGTGTAGTTACCTAGATGATATAGCCATATGCACACTTCATAACTACATACATCCATACCTACACCTACCCATAAACATACCGGCGCGCACCCACGCCCACACCCGAAAATATAACATCAGAGCATAGAATTATCCTAGTCGAACTGCATTCAAATGAAGTCACCATACATATAAATACACAGTAACCATTTAAAATGTTTTTCTTATATTGTTGTCATCACGTGATACTAATATTCGTATTACTGTACGACTTTATAAGTTGATTCGCATCTGAACATCCAGTACTTAAGTTCTGATTAAACGTAAAAGTGCTGCAACAAATGTCATTTCATAACATTAAAAAAAACTAAAAATGTAGCTAGCCTTATCACAAGGTATTAATGATGGTTTTACAATATCAACTTTTAAAGTACGTTCCTTTTATAACTTATACATAACAACAAGCATTTTACATAAAAACTACCTGAAATAGACCTTGGATATCCTATTATGAATCATCCAAATAATATTAAATAAATATGCATCCACATTGTTTTAATATTATCAGGAATTGCGTTCACAAAACAGTCTAACCTTTTCGTAAGCAAACCTTCAGTCGAGGGTCAAGCGAGGCGTAGCGACGAGGGTTACTTGTTACTATATCGTATCTTAGTTATTGCTCATTCCAATATTCTTACTGCTCAAATGAATACTAGCCAAAAAACAAGCATTTTCCTAATCTTTTTACAGTAAATCTTGGAAGTGGTCCCCATAATGCTCGGTAAAAAGCTTCATCTCTTTAATTCACTTCTGAGATGTCCTTTGATATTTCTAAACAGTTTACAAATGCAGCTCCTCGGATAAAACTTGCAGCATCTGAATATGTACTTGGGATAGGTTTCAAACAACTAGACAACGAAAAGTCCGAAGGACCAGGACCTGGTTGATATGATGGATGAATCATAACTTTGGAGTATTCTTCTTGAACGTACTTAAGATTAAGAGTATTATCTTGTATACGTAGTTTTGCATTGTGACGATGCAAATTTAATGCCATGGTTTTTTATGAAAATCTTTTCTCATGTAAATCTTTTGACTAATCTGTTTGAACATTTATCGCGATAATACGTATGATAGACTATGTCTGAGAGGTAGCAACACAATCAAGACTAAGATGTGGAGCATCATTCAGCAGGTTCTTGACCCCACCAATATTTCGTTGAGTGATGACAGATAACGGCGACCATTGCAAGAATCATGTTCCAGCGACTCTCATCTACTTGAAAATCGATAAACCCAATGAGCAACTGTACTATATGAAACAACATCTGGTCCATAACCATCAGTTAATTCATCATGAATGTGTGTAGGGTGTGGGTGTGGGTGTGTCATTGATGTGAGTCTTCTATTTACCAACATCCAGATCCATACCTACACCCACACTCACACCCACACCCACACTCAAACCCACACCGACACCCACCTGCACCCACAACCCACACCCACACCCTTTCTACGAGCTATACATTTCGTATATTATTTTTAATGTATCAACAACCTGAAAGAAGGGTGTGCGTGAGAGTGTGGGTGTAGATATTCTCCTCAGTCATGTTCTATCTGTGCCAATAGGCACAATACGCCTACAACATATGATCCTTGTACAATGTTATCAATGTTAGATATCATCCTTGCATAATGTAACTCTTGCGCGATATGACCTTCTTAGCTGATGAACTCTCGTTCTTGTTTGGTGTTGTAATATCGTTCTCGTTTTCTCTTGTGTAACCTCGGACATTCTACACGTATATTTGTATCTTCTATTCCCTTATGTGACCTTGAACGTTCTATATAGATATGTATATCTTCTCTTCTCTTGTGTAGCCGAGTAATCTAACGTAACTAGTATATAAGGACGTGTAAAAGAAAAGAACAACACAATTGGATAATGTAGTAGAGGAGTTAACATCGTACACTGAGAATAGTGATAACGCTACTCTTCCAGTTTGTCATTGTGATCACAATAAAATAAAGGCTGCAGCAGTAACGAAAAACCAACCATCCATCTCTCTCTCATTCAATTTTTCGTTACACTATCATTTTCTGAAACTACACTTATTCAAAGCATAGTATAGATGTAATTCATTATTAATTGCTGTGAGTTACTAAATGGAACATTTTGAAAGAAATCTTCGTTCGTTCTTAATGCTAGCATTAATGACACCTGACAGACTAAAATAGAACTTGTTACTATTCGAAACTTCAAGTGCTATATGAGTTTTACACTGTATATCTTCGTAAAACTGAAGTAATAGATTGTTTCTGAAATGAATTTATTGCTTAACTGATATATTAAGCGTACCAGGCTTTGTCAAACCAGTCAAGAATGACAACCGATCGGTCAGATGTGATGGAAAAAAATTCGAGCAGTTGCAAGTGTGATCTTCATTAGATTCTTTTCTTCACCCAAATAATGGTCTGCAATAGAAAATATATCTTTTTGTTCTAGTAAACGAACTAATTCGTCGAAACAAGATAAAGTGTGTTGAACTGGTCCTTGCCTATCGTTATTATTATAGGCCTCAACCTGATATAATATATTGGATTGGAGCCAGAAAACGTGAACAATGTGTTAACGCGTGTTCAATCTCTGTTTGTAAAAAATAGTCTAAACAAAAAAGTATCAACTTGTTGCAATAAGTTATTCTCTTATCATGAAAGTATTGCAACAAGGCTCGTTCTCATTAAAATCTCTGAGCATATTAATATTTGTGGTTATTGTTTTGTTCTTGAATTTAATGTATTTCAAAAATAAAATCAACTTCGATCAGCAGAAAGTGCGATATGGAAACTCACAAAACATCCAGTATAAAACAGTAACACATGTTCCCTATCCTTTGCCTATTTATCCGAGACTCGGAAACAACTATGATGGCTGCCCTTACTATGGAGAGAAAAATGGATTATTTCATCCAAATGCAAACCATCCACGTTTCATTGTTACTGGTGGAGCGGGTTTTATTGGTAGTCATCTAGTTAAACGTTTGAGGCAACGTTATAATGCAAGTCAAATAAAAGTATTAGATAATTTGTGGCGAGGTCGTTTAGACAATCTGCAGTTTAGAAATGGAACGTGGGCTATATCTGCTAGTCGTGATATCTGCTTGGTGGATCTACGAAATGCTAATGAAGCACTGAAATTCATAAGAGGAGCCGATGTGGTCTTCCATTTGGCGAGTGTTGTTGCCGGAGTGAATTACATGTTGTCACATCAAATATCTGTTTTTCACGATAATATAGTCATTGATTCCAATACAATATATGCTGCTAAAACAAACCGAGTCGGAAATTTTATCGATGTTGGAACAGTTTATTGCTGTCCAAAATTTTTACAAGATGAGCTCGGTATTTATGCTCTAAGAAACAGTCAAACTTCTTCAGCTGAATCAGAATTTTCTTATGGTTGGAGTAAACTGATAGGGGAACATGAGTTAAAACTAGTGCAATCCAATGACTTCAATGTTGGTTTATTACGTCTTCATAATGTTTATGGTCCTTACAGTGACTTTACCGCTACAACTGGACAAGTTATTCCATCATTGATAAGAAAAGCATTAAAGTTTGAAAACGAGAATTTCACAGTCTGGGGATCAGGCAAACAATATCGAGATTTTATTTACGTTGATGACGTAGTCGACAGTTTGCTTTTAATGCTCGACAAAGGAATGAACAAAGGAGTTATACAAATAGGTAGTGGAAAAGTGACAACGATTAACAAAGTAGCTAGCATTGTCAATATGCTTGCAGAAGCTAAGTTTCAGAGCAAAATGGACATTGTATTTGATAATTTACAACCAGAAGATGATAAAGGTAAAATTGCTGCTCTTCATCGTGCTAGTAATATATTAGGATGGAAACCTACAGTTAGAATAGAAGATGGCATTTCAGAAACCATGTCCTGGATGAAAGAACACCAAGAAAAGACACGAGTATTAGTGATTATAATTGGACAAGCTCGTGGTGGCGATCTATCTTGGAAATCTCTTCATAAATTTCTTCTTCGTCCTCTACAAGCGCATTTAGCGCTCTATCTCGCGAACGCAGAAAAAAGAACACTTTTGCACGATCTAGCTCAATATATTTGGACAATACCTAGTTATCCTTATTGGGATGGCATCTTTGAAAAGGCAGCAGAAACATGTAACACAGATGAAGTAAAAGATAAATGGAGAAACTACTGTCAAATTCCAGGAATATTTATGGGTGGAATTTCGAACTGTTCACATCCTGCATCTTCAGGAATGTTACTTGCCTTGAGGTGGCTTGTACAACAAAAAATTTATGAATTTGATTTACTTAAAATCTATGACTGGTTTATTTTAACTAGAGCTGATGAACTTTACTTATGCAATCATCATAACTTTTTAAACATGAACAAAAATCATTTATTACTACCACCTGGAGAGTATTATGGGGGATGGTCAGATCGTCATATCGTAGGCAAATCGGATGTTTTTATGAAGATGATAAACATTACAACAGAGTTGGTATGCAAACCAGATTACTGGTATCAAAAGCTACAAGCGAAAGGGATATCTTTTAACATCGAAGCAGTACAACACATGTACTGGGCAGCAATGAATATAACTGTGTCCGAGTTTCCAAGATCAATGTTCACAGTGAGAACTACATATGATCCTGCATCTTGGTCTCAAGGTACGAATCATTCAGTGATGGCGCCATTCGGATTGAGACTGAAGTATCCCGACGAATTCCATCTCACGATCAAACAGTGCCCAGTTGAGAACGTAACGGATGCCGTGAAAACTATAGGTCTATATGATTGGCAAAGCTCAAATCATTCTTAAGCGTCGATTCTCCGAAATCATATTTCAAAAAATCTAACGACATTCAACAGTTTCTTCGATGATAAACTTGAGGGTGTGGATGTCACTCTGACATACGTGTGCATGTGAGATGAGGATATTGATGTGTCAGTGTTTCTGTGTATTTCGTCTCGATCCATATTCACATCATGATTCATGAACACTTTCAACGTTAAGACGAATTTTGAACTCGAGTTCGTCCTCTACCTTTTATTTAATAGTCAAAGTTTAGTCGCTGAACAACAATGAATAGAGCTTCTTTAGTCATGGATACTCATTGATGACTAACTAGCATTTTGTGGAACTCACATTCGTTTTCGAAGAACAATAGTGAGTGAAAATTTTAAGTCGAAGTTTTTTCGGGTTTCCGAGGATGTGAATGTGGGTATGAGTGTGGGGATGTAGATGTGTGGTTGTAAATATGGGGATGGGTGTGGAGATGTAGATGTGTGGTTATGGGTGTAGGTGGAGTGTGAGTGTGAGTATGTGAATGTGGGAAATGTAATACCCTCATCCACACTCAATACTCATACAGACAATCACACACAAACGTTTACACCCACACTCAAATCATTCTGAATTACTGCTCAAGATGAAAAACCCATGTGTACACGTGACTTAGCAAGTGGGAGCAAACATACAAGCATGTAAATTGGTGTTACTTCAGGCGATTTTCCCTTCAGTCGCAAGAAAAAAACAGGCTCTTCAAGCTACGTTTTTTCGCAAGGAATGCTGAGTTTTACGCAAAACTACGTAACAACTGGAAATGGTTAAAATTGCTTGCTTGATGTCCGAGATTTTAATGCTCAACTACAACTATGCTCCTTAATTGTTAGCCATTTTTGCTGAGTAACATTAATCATACAAATGAACATTCTAGAAAGACCAGGGATGCCACCTCATGAAGTCAAAAAAGCGGAAAGTTGACTTAGAAAAGCGGAAAATTGCGAAAACAAAAAGCAGAAAAAGTGGAAACTTATCTTGTTGCGGATTTTTAGCGTTTACGAGAATTTTCAACTTTTTCATATCTATAGTATTCTGTTTTTATTTTAACAAAATTGGAAAACATAAAATATTGTTGAAATGAATAAGAATGACTATGCTTCACTCCATGGTATACAAAAGTACCTTCTGCAGCTGCTGTTTCTTCAACCTCCTTGTTAGATTTCATAGTTGATGTTATCAATTGTCGATTTCTACCGAATGAATTTATGTTCTTATTATGTCTTTTCAGTTTGGTGTGACGATCAATATCATTTTTCCACCATCACATACTGAAAAATGTTCGTTAGAGGCAATACAAAGAACCTTAGCTGAATCTGGTTTATACTGTCGTAAAAATGATGCGAACTGAGGATTAAGTAGTCATTGTGAATTAAACACGCCTTTTTCATCTTTTGATAAGCATCTAGTATGGCTTCAATATTTTTATTTTCATTTGATTTCAGAATTGGTGATGTTATTATTAAATGTTCACGATCTGTTTCATCATTTGCAATCTCAATAGCTTTAGATCATAAAAAACGTTTAAATTTTCGGATTGGAAATTTTTTTAGGTAAATACAGAAGGCAAAATAATTTGAAAAGAAGTTAACAATCAGTTGAGAGCAGAATGATGTTTTTAATTCCCGAACAGGCAATCAGTGCGCAAGCCCTTTAACATAGAAAAACTTTATGTGTTCGTCCATTGATTTTATGGATGACATAATAAGATTGATGATTAATTGGGTGCGTAAGCAGTAAGACTTTATTCGACAATAATAAGTTTTGCTCCGAACATATTTTGAAAATACATCACCTTTTTCTATAAAAAAGTGGAACAGCGGAAAAATAGCGGAAAATAGGTGAAAAAGCAGAAACTTTCCGCAAAAAGCGGAAGAGATGGCATCCCTGAGAAAGACCTATAATGTGAGAATAATTATTTGTATTATTGAACAAAGCAAGCAGGATTATGCAACATTTGCTGTTTATTGATGACATTCTTTATAAGATTATACAAGAATTGTTACATATTCATACAGAAATTTTTGATCGTCACTTACATTTTCAAGTAAGAATGGCGCAGGGATAGAAGTAAAGGATAAGTTCCATCCCAGGAGAGCAAAAGACGGGTAAAAAGACTAGTTAGTTTCACCAGTCATGATGCCCCGTCAGTGAATAGTCTTTTTCTCAAAACGGCCTAGACATGACTAGTCTAATATTATTGGGAGTCCGTACACCGCGTCGTGACTAGCTCACAGACGGGCGTCAGTATTTCAATGCAGTCTAGTCATTTTTACAAAAACGACTAGTCTTAACTAGTACTAGTTGTTGAAATAGACTAGTCATGTGGGATCGCTTTTTAAGAGAATGACTAGTCAAGACATAGCGAGATGGCGCCAGTCTGTCGTAAAAATGTATAGTCTCGTATCTCTATCTTATTGTCTTCGGACTAGTTCTGACGGTTCGTCATGACACCCGTCCGATATATTTAAAAATTGAAAAATATATATGTGCATATCGATCGTATTTCCAACTGCATACTATACATTATACAGCTACTACTCATTCATAACGTCTGAAATCGGTTCTTTTGTGAGTCAGATGTTGGTGTCCAGACTCGTCTAAATTATAGAAGCAAAGTGATGAAGGTTAGATTCGAACATACATACTCTTTGTTACATACCTAGCTTGACAAGCAGTTGAACCATACAAGCTGATATTTCATCGATGACATATCTAGCTCTTCCTGACACGTTTTTCACACATTAATGATCAGAGAAGTTCATAATATTATTTAATAAAACTTATTAATTCATGTACTACCAGACTATTTGATGATGTATGTCAACATAAATCAAAATTTTCAATTCCTAGTTACACTCAGCACTCTCTCAGAAGATTAGATCAAGAAAATTAGATTTGAGAAGCTTTTTAAAGAAAAAAAATTATGTTTATTAATAGTAAAAATGATTTTTATCTGTTAACTATTGGCTTTTAAGTTAGGAAATTCAAACACAATAAAACCATTACCAGGTTCACGTGTACAAGAATTGTTTTTTAAGATAAATTTTGGATGCTTCAGATGGAAAATGTTTGATGGCTTTAATCATAAAAGCTGTTAGCTCAATCCATTGCGAGATTAAAAATGTGAAACGCGATGGATCGATTGTTATTAATTCAATGGACATCATTTTGTACCATTCCTTCACGATATATTTGTAGTTTACTGTTTATTGGATGTTTCAAAACTAGTTTCTCTGTAGCAGTCTGTGATGGGTATAAATTTTCTCTGTCACGGTCAGAGAGAGAGAGACGGAGTGGGTTTTAAATTTCTATTTTATACACTTCAACACTTTTCAGTTCGTGTTTCACAATACATAACGTTCGTTAGAAATCTTAAACGAAAAAAGTTTAAAAAAAGCAATTCACATCCTCTAACGAACAAACATAACCGTCATAACAAACGAAGCCTTGTATTCATTAATGCATGTCTACTCATTAGAAAAATTCATTCACATGTTTTGTTTTTGTTTTAAACAGTCTTCATATTAAGCCACGGATAAAACAAATCTTTGTGAAATCTTCTTTATATATGTTTAAAAGAAGAAGAGAGTTAAAGAGAGCGTTGTTTCTATTGCGAAACCAATGATATATGTATATTCTGTCACGTTGTCGCTTGAATGCAAGACAAAAAGAAAATAAAGAACAAATTAGATAAACTAGCGACTTAATCATCAACCTTAGATGATCTATATACAATAAAATAGAAAAAAGAAGTTTTTCTTTTTTATAAAAATAACTGATTAAATTAATAATGTTATTGACGAAAATTCGTACATTTTATATACTTTAATGAACAGTAATCTTACGATAGCGAAAATATGACAATAATAATTATTTTTATTTTTTCTGTTCTATATGATAAAGACATTTAAAGACAAAGACAAATTGAAGTTAATGATTTTTAGCATTTCAAACTCAAGAAATTTTCCCTTATTAATAAAAAAGTTTTGCTAATTGATAATCGATAAATAAACTACACCTTTGTAGAATCTTAGATAATTAAACAGTCACATTTTTCATAACGCAAGTTTGTAACTTTGTTATTCTTAGGTTATGAATACGTACTAGGATGTATTGAATTGAAGATGACAAAGAGTTTTCATAAACGAGCAACTAGTTCAAACTCAATATTACATTAAGTTTCTGTAGTTAGACTAGAATTGACGGGTATTAAAGATATAATCAACTGTCAACGTAAGATGTCATACTGAATTTTGGACTAGTCTGGTTCAGACAGAATGTCATTTTAGTAAAACATGGTAGTCTTGGTTGGTACTCAGGATCTCTCAGACTAGTCCAGACATGTATTTCAAACTTATTAGACTAGTCCAGTCCCGTCATTATATTACCTCATAAGACACTGACTAGTCCTGTTGTCGACACCAAATATTTAGGACTAGACTTTACTAGTCCTCAGAATATCTTAGACTAGTCCTGGCATACATTTTTAAATTCTTAGACTAGTCCAGACCTGTATTTTGAAATTATTAGACTAGTCTAGCCCCGTCATTATATTACCTCATAAGACACTGACTAGTCCTGTTGTCGACACCAAATATTTGGGACTAGTCTTGACTAGTCCTCAGAATATCTTAGACTAGTCCAGACATGTATCTCAAACTTATTCGACTAGTCCAGTCCCGTCATTATATTACCTCATAAGACACTGACTAGTCCTGTTGTCGACACCAAATATTTAGGACTAGACTTGACTAGTCCCTAGAATATCTCAGACTAGTCCTGACATATATTTCGAAAATATTAGACTAGTTCAGTCGTGTCAGTATGTCGTTTTTTAAAATACTGACTAGTCCTGACGGCCACATTTAGTATTTTAAACTAGTCAGGACGGGTGTTATGGACGTTTTGGACTAGACATGTCGCCAGTCCTCTCGTTTTTTTGTTTGCCTGGGATGATTTATTATATGAGTAGCTGTTAGAAACAGCTCTTTATAAATCATGTTCAATGCGAAATAAATGATTATTCTATAATAATTCAAAATGAGGAGAAGAAAAAAAGGTACGTAAAAAAGAACATAATGTTACTTGGTCATTGGTTTTCTCGAAATAATATTTTAATAAAAAAATGAAGTTCCCTTCCTTTTCTCCCATGTGATATGCTCGATCAGACTCAAATTTTATTATAAGTACTTCGATTAAATTGGGATGCGTGTGTTTTATCTTATACAAAAATACTACCATTACAAAAATTCACGTTTTTTTTATGGTGCTTCTAGTATTTTGCCTCTCCTGAGCTCTGAGAGAAATATTTTTTAAAGGAAAAAAACATACGAACTTCGATCAGACCCTATTTGTCATAAAACAAAAGTGCAGCTCGAAAAAATGACGTATAGACTTGTACAGAAGAAAAACTTTCTGTCATTGTTTACTTTTGTCATCATATATTTTTCTGAAGTGAATATTTTGAATCTATGACAACTTTTGTTTTACTTATCGTGATCTGTCTGATGTAAAAATTTAATTATTTTTTGGGAGGTGTTCTCGAGAAAATCAGGAAAAGGGATGGAGACTAAATTTTGATGAATCATGATGATGAAAAAGTACCATGAATGCTTTGATAAGAACATATAGTTTCATGGTCTACGATATTAAATGCAGTAGAGTTTTCTTAAAGTATCTTTTCAACATGCATGCTTTTCTATTATTTCTTCGTTTTCTCTAGAATATCAATGGTCTTTTGTGTGTCGCCAGTTAAAAAGTACATTAATGTTATCAGCAACTTTACGAATATGCTCAATGAATCAGTAGACATAACAATCGACAGTCCGCTCATTGGAAAATGTCGCGTAGCTGTCACATTAAAACATAATACACGAAAAATGGAAATTGAATATCATGGTAATAATCACATCAGTAATCCATCTGATATTATTAGTCTGCAGACAGGAATTCTATATGTAATGAGTGGGATTTCTACGTATAATACATTCACCTATTTATGTTCATCCAACAATTATTGTGATCGAGAATATATATTGAAAATTGGTCGTAATGGCTATTCAATGTTACTTTTACTGAATTAGAGAATACACTTTCAAAGATATTATAAAGCAATGACTATAATAGCTTTGTATCAAGTGAATATTATGATACGAACTAGGGTGGTAATTTGTTCAAATTACATATATAGCAGTGAATACAAGAAAAATGAAATGATGGCTACGTATCTCAGAATCGATGAAACACCAGACAAAACGAAACCAATGACACAATCAGAATAGTTTGAATGGCCACTTGCACAACTTGTCTTTGTAAACATTAAAACGATTCTAATGGAAGGGGATTTGGGGAGAAATGGTAATAGTATATGCACTCTGGCCGAGACAAACGTCAATTGAGTCATACTATTTTCTATTTGTGTTGACTCAATAAATGCAACAATCATCCATCCATTTTGCGAAATACAACGGATGAAATTCACATGAGCTATAAGGTGCAACTAATTCTCCACTTTAACGCGTCGGTGTAAGGTAAAACTACTTTCATAGCAATTACTTATTTAAATTTGACATTTAACTTAGCAATAAAAGTAACTGATATTAGTCATGCAACTTCTACAAAGATAATAGATGGAACAAGTCGGTTCAAGACAATGTCAGTTTTTGTTTTATATTGATCAATAGTTCTGACTTACTCGTTGAACATTGATTCGAAGTCATATTATAATCAAAATGCCCTATTTATGCTTATAATCATGATAGTTTACGTTCTTATCGATTTTATTCTTCAATCACCAATGTCTAATCGTCAACGAATCACATTTTGAATCTTTTTCTAGGTGTTCATATGAATATGACGGGTGTTGTTCTCACGATTCCATTTATCTCTACATTTGCTGGTAGAGACTAAAACAAATATCGTGACATATCATCTAAAATATTGGTTTATTAGCAGATGTGAGAAGGCTTCCTTGTTAGCACCTTAGTACATAGGCAATACAATAAATCAAACGTCTTTCGAGTATTTGACGTATCTCTTTGATTTATTTTCAGGTTGGTTGGGAATTAGTGCTTCATATTTTTAGTTAGAAGAAAAATGCTGTATAAGAGTTAGTAACCAGTTACTACTAACAGGGTGAGACTGCTTCATTATTATTATTGTCAAGATCAGTATTTTTAGTGTTTCACGAAATCTGAATGGCGTTCAATGTGTTAATTATGCGTCAACATAAGATAAACAATATTCTGAGCAGTAGAAGATAAGTCATTATGAACTTTATGAAAATAATAAGGAATGTACGAGAAAATGATTTTGAAAATAAGAACAACTGCTTGTTCCTAGCAACTAGATAGTTATAAGGATAACAACATTGCCTGATTAGTATTACATATGTCATTAATGTGAACCGATTGTATCACTGCATTGATGTCGGATCTTTTTTGTAAGGCTTGATGGTACTTGTATCATCCATAATTGCAAGACTCATCACTGGTTTATGACGACCATCACATGATTCCACTCCATGAAACCCTCCTGCTACGTAACACATTTTTGATATGTTAGTCATCTCATTGTCTACTTTGACGGGAACTACAACTGATCTTAGTATTATTTCTTTAGTGTGGCAGCTCTTCTTGTCATGCAATCCGAAGCACAATTTGAGAAACCATCCGCTTACGTATGTTCCAGGCATTCTAAAAAGAAAAGACAGAACGCTCAACTAAAGTCACTCGTTTGAGTTTACTCACCTTCCCGATACACCACCCCCAACATGTTCAATATCCATTACTTTATTCCAAAACTCATGATCAACTTTATTTTGATAAGTTCTGATGAATTGATCAATGATAGGCAATAGACTATCGATATAAGTAGCAAACGTATCTGTCCCACACTTCGTAAAAGTCTTCAACTTTTCAATTTTCTGACGCAGAAGTTTCCAATCCTGCAATTTACCCATAAAGTGTACACGACGAATTCCACACCTTGTAATGAAGCATCTGTATTCGAAATAGTTCTTAAATGTATCCATCATAACGAGACATGACAAAATAGACTCAATCTGACCAGTTGTTGAGAAATTAGCTGTGAGCAAATCAGTAACATTATGTTTCACATTTTTGCCGACTTCTACGCGCATACGTTCGAGAAAATCCTTCCAACTGTAATACAATCAACATTTTAAATTATCTATGCTTCAAAATAATTCATGCTCACTCGGGTTCGATCAGTCCTACTTGTACGATAGTTAACAATTTTCTGTCTTCATGGTCAACAAAAAGTGTTCGTAATTGTTCCACATTTTGATTGACATAGGTGGAAAAATATATGCATACCATAAGCCAAATATCATCCGGAGACAAGACGATATCTTCATGTGAATTGTAAGCATAAAGAAAAGCCGAGAAGATAGCATGATTTACTTTGGACGATGTGTCTAAATCCAAAGTTTTTGTAATAGAAAAGATTACCCAGTCCATTATATAACTCACGTGGTCCATTTGCAATAACATGTTGAATTGTGTAACGTGTCTCATCGCCTTCTTTGTCAACTTCCTTTATCCAGTAGTTAGCATTTGGTTGATGCTCGGGCGCATTTGTCTGATAATCTTTTTTGACTGGTTGAAGATTCGGACATATGTCAATCGTATGATATTTCGACGAATTCTTATCAGCAACTTGATCATTGAGAACTTCACCCATTTCTTTTGTCACTTTTGTTTTTTAGTAACCAGTAAAGTGTTTGTCTTCAAAATGCAAGAAGAAAAAAAGTCTAACGGAGTACTTGAGATAACAGAATAAATAGAAGAAAAATGAAAGAAAAAAAAATATTGCCAAGAAAAAAAAGATGGCGTTTTGCTTGAAAAGAAAGTCTTGCACAATATATAATGATTGTTGAGCAAGACAATTTTCAGTTATATATGTGCACACAGCAATGAAAACGTGGAGTGATCATAACGCAATGGAAAATCCATCAGTTCATGCGACATCTATTACGTAAGTATTGAGTAAAACTTGAATACTCATGTCAAAATTCTGGATTTGAGTGTGAATATGAATGAAGGTGAAGAGAAGTACCTCATAAACATCCTTATTCAACTTTGTCATTCAATGATATACACCCTGACTGTGTTCGAACATTCAAAGCAACTGTGTCAATGCTGGCGTCTTGGAATATTCATTGATCGATTTATGTGTCATTCATTTTCAAGAAAGACATTGGAACGCATCGAAATGGCTCGCATTTAGATGATCTAGACGATTGAGACGATCAATATAAATTGTCATACCAACATAATAGATTTTTTTCGACACAAAATATTAATATTCGTCTACAACTTATCCTATTTGATATTCTCACAGAACAGATGATTGCCAATAGCTGGCAAGTACTCAGTACAGAATATGGTCAAAAGTAAAAGCAAATTAAAAAATATATAGGTCGTGAATAATTCATGAGATATGCATGAATTTGCTTATCATTTTATTCGGTATCTGTTTAAATTTTGTTAAGTCTGATTTCATCTACAGTAGTTGTTCCAAGTGAATCGTCTTAATGGAAATGCAGATTGATGACGAAATTTACACAGATTTCGAAATCATAAGAAACTGATATGAATAACATTGATTATGACACCTGATCAGAGTGAATATAATGATATGTTTCATCTGAACACAAGCACTGTAAAATACACAAGAATGTATCTCTGAATAATACTGTCTGTTGAGACTAGAATAATTCTGTTGCCTTATTCTATGTTTAATATTTGATCCGTGAATGAAGTCTAACTTCGATAATTTCAAACGACGCTCATCTTCTCATATGTATTTTATGTGAAAACTAATATATTCTGTAAAAATGTGACACCATAGTGAACAACTGATTGAGAAAAAGTTTATCTATAGCAATTTTGATCTTGTAATGTTTTTATAGCGTAATCGTTGATTACATTTTCTATTGAATACAGTTGAATTACTCTTCTTTAGTGTTGTTCGTGGTGGTGACTTTGCTATTCGATGAAAAACAAGTTCAAGGAGAACGATTAGCATAGAGAACATGCTAGTTCCATTGAGCACTCTCGCTTCTAAATAAATTTATTTCATGAGCAAAATTTTTTACGGACAAAACAATGTCTCAGGTTTGTGCATGGTCTTCATCGACATCAATTTCGGTGTCTGTGACGAAACTACTGGAGTCTGAAACGATAAAGACTATCGCCCTAGCCATCGCATAAGGTGAAACATCCACTATCGTTTCTTCATGCTCGAACTCAGTCCTATAAATGAGCCAACACTTGAATTGGAGAAGAGGATGTCTAAGCGACCTTTCTCTTCCTGAATAACACTGTAGAGTTTATTGAGATCGATCATATTGGATATGCAGTTTTGTATTCCAGTCATATTATTGCTGTCCAATTTTTTCATAGCGTCATCAAGTACTTGTTAACGACGTCCAATAATGAAGACATGTTCAACGTGTTCAGCAAGAAACTGTTGGGCAACAACGAAACCAATGGCTTCAGAGTCATCAATAATGAGAGTAATTTTTCCGCTGATTCTTCACATGTGCTTTTACTTTGTTTTGAAAATGAAAGTCACTAATTGATGGTTGTGCTCCAACCGTCCATACAAAAAAATGAGATATTAGGTATTTGTTTACACACTGATCAGAGTGAGTGTCATATTATTTCATTATTTTTTTCTCGTACGTGAATACACAGATGATGTTCGCATTGGATATTTTTAATACATATCTATTATTTACTGTATAAAGTGTGTCGTCATTTTATTTGTGCTCTCTTTACCTCCCGCAGTGCCAAGTAGATGTATTTTGTAAAAATTCTCCTCATCCTCTCCTTTACTCTTCTCTGAGCCTATTACAATAGCTGAAGATTTTTTTTGGTATGTTGGTATTCTTTGCATTAACTGTCCAAAATTTCAGTTGTAAAAAATAGATAGATCGATAAAATAATAAAAACAAAAAACTTGCATGGACAAGCTATGAAAAAGTTACTTCACAATCACAATATCAGGCTCAGGAGCGCCATAAATTCAATGCTTAATTATAAAAGTAATTATACATATGTACAATAGACAAATATGTAAGGGTAAGACAAACAAGAACTACAATACCAGTGGCTCCATCGAGTTGCGTTGCTATCAAGAAGTTCGCCTTATTATGTCGAGTGTGGTTGTTAGTGTTCTCTTCCTTCATCCTACGACTCATGCCAAACACACCTACACTCCCATCAGCACATTATTATCTTTTTTTTCTGTTGGAAATAGTGAACCTGTTAGAACAGATGGGATTTTGAATTCATGCAGAAAATCAATACATAGAGCAAATTATTATCAAGTCTGCTTGCATCTTATTCAAAATAAATTATTTTATTTCCTTTTTATATTTGATATTGCATTTTTTAAAGTTTTATTTCCAAGAATTTTGAAAACAATGGATGTTTTGAACTTATTTTAAGGGAACAGATATGAATGGTGAGACTGTTGATCCAGCGGCACATTCTTGAGCTTGATCGCATACTACTGTTGGTGGCATAACCATCGAACAAATAGACATGACTGAATTTTCCAAGTTATATTCCTTTTCTAGTTGCACTGTTTTTTGCGCTAATAATCGAATATTCTCTGCATTAGAACTTCTAATTGAATATACAACATAACCATTGGGACCACCACATGCTCGAGATCCAGTCGGTGCAGCAGTACAATCCGTTGATGTTGTGCATCTATTGTCAACTCTAATGGCTGCTCTCAACTCTTTATTAACAGTAGCGATTTCTTCTCGAGTGACTTTAGCATTGACAGCAACACCTGAGATTAATACACATGAATATAATGTAATGTTAGAGAAACAACAGTTTTACCTAAGAAAAGAAGAGCAAGAATAATTTGTTTCAGCATAGTATGGTTTGCTTTTGAGATAAGATAGTGGAATAAAACCAATAGAAGATTGAAACAGTGTCATTTTATACTTCAATCAGTATGCAGATGGTATATTACGATTGAAATGAGAAAGAAAAAACATATCAATTACATATGTGTTATAAAAGAATGAAAGATATAGCTGTAAATAAAAGCTTAAACAGTATTAATTTGATAATATGTTCCAGGTAGGAATATATTTCATTTATCAATGCCTTGATTTATTGAAGTTTTCTTAGATGACAACTAAATCTCATTTTGATTTGTTTTAGAAATATTGACGAAGTTGCCTAGATTATTTTGAAACAAGATTTTTTTCGATTTTGTTATTCTTTTTCAGTTCTCTTCAACATTATCAAAGACATGATACTCGTAGTTAACATTTAGAATGAAACATGAATTTCTACCAAAAAAACAGAGTGTGTTTACACTGTCTAAAAATATTTCTTCACATACATATTAATAACGTAGAGCTATAGAGAGACATATTATCGGCACAATTAAGTAAATGGATCGTTGTTATTTTCATCTACCCAGTGAAAAAAATATGTAGCAAAATCCTGATTTTTTTTTATTAAGAGTGTAAAAACCACCAATTTCGACGAAAAGTTCAATATTCTATACAAAATCGGATTAAAAGCGATTGAAATCGCCAAATCCATTGAAAAAACAATCGATTTAATCGATTATTTCGGATTAGGGCAAGAAAAACCGGGTTTCAATCCGTAATCAATTTAAATCTTCTAATCGATTGTAACCCGAATTGATCAAAATCGGATGAACTGATTTTCAACGGATTAACCCCAAGTATCTCTTTTCTAATCGGATGTTAATCTATAATCGATTTAAATCTTTTTTAATGGATTAAAATCTGAATTGATTTAAATCAGATGAAGTGATTTTCATCGGATTAGCTACGATTATTAGAGGTATAATCGAATGTCAATCTTTAATCGATTTCAATCCTTTTTCATCGATTCAAATCTGAATGAGCCATATTCGCGAATGCTTGTTGGCCACGGTTATATAAAGAACAAGTGGCCATATTAGTTTATATATTCTTAAGGACGGCATCTTCTCTTTTATCTATCTTTCTTTATCGTCGCTCTAACATATGTTAGAGCGACGATAAAGAAAGATAGATCAAAGAGAAGATGCGGTCCTTAAGAATATATAAACTAATATGGCCGCTCGTTTTTTATATAAGCGTGGTCAACAAGCATTCACGAATATGGCTCATTGATTTAAATCGGATGAATCGATTTTCATCGGATTTGTCATGACTATCTCTGTTCTAATCGAACGTTAATCTTGAATCCATTTCAATCTTTTTAATCGATTGAAACCTCAATTTGATTTAAATCAGATGAAATGATTTTCATCGGATTAACCCCGAGTATCTATCTTCTAATCCGATGTTAATCTGTAACCGATTGAAATCTGAATTGAATTAAATCAGATCATGTGATTTTCACCGAATTTGCTACGATTATTAAAGGTGTAATCGAATGTTAATCTTCAATCAATTTCAATCCTTTTTAATCGATTGAAATTCGAATTGATTTCAATCAGATGAAGTGGTTTTCATCAGACTAACCACAAGTATTTCTGTTCTAATCGGATTTAAATCTGTAATCAATTAAGATATTTTTAATCGATTGAAATCTGAATTGATTTAAATCAGACGGAGTGATTTTCATCGGATTACCTATGATTATTAGAGATGTAATCGAATGTTAATCTTCAATCGATTTCAACCCTTTTTAATCGATTGAAATCCGAAGTGATTTAAATCGGATGAATCGATTTTCATTGGATTAGCCACAAGTATCTCTGTTCTAATCGGATGTAAATCTTTAATCGATTTCAATCCTCTTTAATCGTTTGAAATCCGAATTCATTTAAATCGGATGAAGTGATTTTCATCGGATTTGTCGTGACTATCTTTGTTATAATGGGATGTTCATCTTCAATCTATTTAAATCTTCTTAATCAGTTTAAATCCGAATTGATCTCAATCTGATGTACTCATTTTCATCGGATTAGCTATGATTATGGCCGTTCTAATCAGATTTTAAACTTTTATCGATTTATATTCTTTGATGTTGGGGAATGTTTTCGATTTAATTTCTGCTGCTCGATGATTATTTGAATATGGAGTGGTTTAAGTGACGCCTTTCAGGAATATGGTGTGTACTTAGGTAAAGAAATTGAAGGAAAAATGGGACTTGTGTTGGGAATCGTTTTTTCCTTTTCTTGGTTTGAGTTTGACTGGAGAACTGGGGTGCCAGGTGGATAGCATCGAACCG